GTGCCGACCCAACTACACCACCACGCGCATGCCTCGCGGCGGATATGCGCAGCAGCAAGAAGGTTTCGGTCATCCCTTGAGGGTGAGTCTAGCCCTGCTCGCCAGAAAGACCCCCCCCTTCACTACAACCCATGTCTAAGCAAAAGCTTGTCGAGGAGCGAGGGGAAGAAGGGAGAGTTTGTGTGTGTGTATTTGATCACACCTCGATAGCAAAGGCGAAGGAATATCGCATGCGACGCCCCCCCCTCCGCCATCCAAGTTATTTCCGTGCAAACGTATACTCAACGACAAGTGTAGCTAATGAAACAAATGATGAGCAAGTCGGGTGCGTACATTCATGCACACCATGTTCTGGAGTTTCACCTTTCCGCTGCCCTCGAGGGAGGTCTATCTCTACACGAAGGTTGTACTACTGGCTGTGTAGTCCATGCAAGCGTCACGACCGTCGTGAAAAAAAAATAAAAGACATACAGGTAGCCTTTCGCTCACGCTATGGATTCATTGCTAATCTATCTTAGACGTATTTCTATTGAAAAGAGATGGATTTGTTGTGTGATGTTAAGAAACAAAAAAAAAAAGGGCGTGGCGGGAGTTCGACAGATTGTACTAAAGGGGGAGGCTCATTTATCATGGCACATTTTGGTACTCGTTCGGCCCCCCCCCGCACCGATCCATCGGGGGACACGTTCAACCACACTCGCCGGAAGCTTGCCGTGCCAGCTGCCAGTTCTCAACGTTCCCTTCCTTGGGGTGTTCGGGCACTTGCGTTGGAAGCCATCGTTGGCTACCCTGGTCCGTGGTTGCAGCAGCTGTCGGCAGTAAGTATTCATGATGGCCGTACGTCGGGTTTCGTCGCTCTTGGCGCTGGGAGTGGCGCTCTTCGCTGCTGGAGGTGCTGATGCTTTCACCACGACATCTGGGTGAGATGCATAGTAACAGAGAGTGAACTTCGATGACATGCACATATTCGCATTAGCTGGTTCACTGGGCTGTCGTTGCGTCTGGTCGGGCAGCAGTTAGACGAGCGCTTCTCCATTGCACGCATGAATGAATGTATGCATAACATGAGCCGCTCTTCCGACAACACATGTGGCGTGGTGCAGCAGTACTCTCTCGGTGTCGCGGATGGAAGCAGCATCGTTGTCTCGTAGACTTGGCAGCGAATCCACACGAGCAGAGGCAACCGTGGTGCTGCGGCTCAGAAGGTGTTATGACTGGTTGTGTTTGTTGTTCAAACCATGAGTATTGTGGGGGGGAAAGCTGCCCCACGCACATGAACGCGCCGCTCTAATAACGGGGGTTAGCTTTTATTGCCCCGCTTGCCAACACCCAGCTTGCTACAACTTGTATGCACACACAGCATCAAAGTAGGCAGTGGATTGTTAGGATTCAACCCGTAGCATTTGGCATTTTGACGTCAAAGATGTATTTATGCGGCTAGCTTTGTACTGCGTGTCCTGCTTTCCCGCTGGCAGCAAGTATTGTTCCTACTGCTGTATATCAGCCCCGTACCGGTTCGTGTCATTGAACTATCCACGCGTCAACTGCCCGAAGCTCGGAGCTCAAAATAGGCCACCTCTGCAGTCTCTATAGAATGTCACGTACGACAAGTACAACAGCACGGGGGCATGGTGTAGATCTGCCTGCTGCTGTTGCGCGGCGCAAGTAAAAACACCAGCATTTATGTACTGCATGTGATGTAGGCGAAATCGAAATCAACCATCGACCGCCAAAGATTAAGATTCCTCTGGCCGCGAGCATACGTGGGTGTCTTTGTTTCGTCTCCACGAGCTCACCGAATCTACCGTCGTGCATGTATGTTTGACGTTTGCATGTGCCGTGTCCTCCTATGGTAGCCGTGTGGGTGTAACCACCAATGCCCGACGGCTTGAGCGGGCAGCAGCAGCAAGCACGCCCTCCTCGGTTCGGGGCAAGCGACGGATCACCCCGACAGCCGTTTCCGCACAGCCAACGGAGAAGGCGGTAGATGCCGGCAACGATACCACGGACCCTTTGCTGCTGCGTGCGGCTCGCGGAGAGGTACGTCTCCCTTGGGTGCGGCTTAGTGGCTGCCTGTAGTGGTTGCGTCGAGATTACTCCAGAGGTGTCGAATCAAGGTGAACGTTATGCTCTGTCGGTCCGACGGCTGTAAGCGGAATCCAAAGTATGTTGATGGAAGCCTGAGTGACACATATCACAGGTTTTGTGTTAGATGAGCGTGCTGGGGATACTGCTGTTGATGCTGTTAATGTTGCAACTATCGACGTGCTGCGGCCAACGTTTGGCCGTTCATTTGAAACGCCAGCCACGTCGTGCTCATCGGGTACCACCGTACGGCAGTACCCGGCCCCTTATTCCGTACCCAACCCGAAGTACGGGATGCATGTGTCAAGAGCCATATCAGCAGCAGTGTACGTACGACTCCATAACGTTGCTGGGCGTTCAAGTTGTGATGAATTGTAGTAGCAACGCGTGTGCATAGCTCTTGGTTCTGGGGTTTTCGCAGAATGCAACAACGTGTGCGTGGTGTCAACTGTACTTGTTTGCTTCACACCTGTTGAGCAGAAAGTGGAGCGAGTGCCGGTGTGGATGATGCGGCAGGCGGGCAGGCACATCAAGGAGTACCGGGATCTCGTCCAAAAGGTGGGTTAGTGAGCTGGCGCGAAGATGTTGGTGAAGAAAGCTGCGGCGGTGCAAGGTCATGCTTTCGGCAATAATTTATAAGCTTTTTGGGGCACACAGAAGGAAGAGAAACAAGTTGAAAGCCGTAGGTCCTTTGATTGTAGCAAGTTTTCTTGGTATTTTGAGCAATTAACCTGACGAATATGGGGTTGCAGTGGGCAGATGCTCGTTTCCCAGCGCTGCCCCCGGGGCTTTATTAGACTGGTAGCAGCTCTCCGGTATGTTCAAAGCAACGACCTGGTGCGCGCGTCAATGGTATTATTTAGGCTGGGTGGTTTTTCCACCGTGGCATCGGTCACGTGACGTCATGCAAAGCGTGCGTTTGCTACGCTGATACGGTTGTCATGGCGGAGTGTCGCTGTACTGTCGATGGGGCCTATTTCGTGTCGTTGACCCAGCTTGTCATGTTTCCACGTCGCAGCACCCCACATTTAGGGAGAGGTCCGAGACCCCAGAATTGTCAACCGAGATCTCCCTACAGCCTTGGAGGAACTACAAGACTGACGGCGTTATCCTCTTCTCCGACATCCTCACACCTCTCCCGGTAAGCGAGGCAGATATCGAAAGAAAGACAATCCAACCGGTCGCCCCGGTGGTCTAGTTGGTAATCCTCGAAACCTTCTTGAGGTCAGGTCAGAAGGTCGAATCCCGGCGTAAGCGAGCTTTTCTTGCAAAGTGAGTTTTTCTCTCGCTTCCGCTCCTGGCCGAGTGGATAGCGCTACTTCCTGTGTACACAGCGGGAAGATAGTGCTGAACTCTTCTCGCATTAAAAATCGAAGGCAAAGTACCGCAAGAGGGGAGGGCAGAGAGGGGCCCTTCTGTGTGACCACGGGTTGGAGTAAACGGCACCAGTGCTGTGAGTGCTGATTTGAAGTGAAGACAAAAAAAAAATATCCCACCGTATCTCAATCCTCTTTCTGTGAGACTATTTGTAGCGTTGCGCCCGATTTCTGTGTATGTACGAAAGACGTATAGTATGGTTCACCTTTCTCTAAAGTCTGTTGTTCATGTAAGATAGTACTCTCTCTGGAGACTAATAGGCGTATAGGAAAGTCTAACTCCGCGGCAGGATTGATGCAAATCCATGTTCCCCACACTCTACGTTGTGCCAGCTCCCGTGTGCGTCGATGCTACAGCTCAACGAATTAACTCGACTCCCTTGGTTGATTTGAAAGTCTTACTGTGCGAATGCGTGTTGGAATGGGATGCCACCATGCTCATGGTGGGTGCTGCTAGATTGGCTGGCAGCAACAGTCTGCGTTCTGCGGACGATAGCGACCCATGACAACCAAATGATCGAAACTGCAGCGACTCCCTCCCTCTGGCTATCTTCGTGGCGAATGTTAAAGTCTCTTATACCCTCAACCCTGCCTTATTTGGTTGGTTTGTGCCATGGGTGTCTCGCGGTTATTCCAGGGCATGGGTATCGATTTCACCATCGAGGAGAAGGCGGGACCGAAGATTCCCCCGATGCGAACATGGGATTCGGTAAGCCTCTGCACGTTGCACTCACCCGACGTGTCTTGGGTCAGTCGATCGTCGGCTGGGAACTTGACTTTGCATACATACCCTGTTCATTTGGAACATCCTCAGTCAGCAAAATCTCTTTCGACTGAAAGGGCCGTTGTCATTTGCTAGCATGGGCGCGAGGCCCGGTAGTTGTCGGCATTGCGAAGGCGGTTGTTGTCAGAGTGCCTCTCTCACACTCGATTAGACTATTCACATATCGCATGCCCCGCTGCACCAGGCTGTACTGTGTACCACTGTTGGTCCTTTTTCGCGTTCCCGTCACGTGTGGCGTACGCAATACGCGCATTGGCATGTCTCGGTGAGTCGTGTCGTGCGCCAAGCGTGCTCTGCTACTTGGGTTCACCAGTGAGCGTTTGATGAACGCGTTAAGCGTGTGGCACTTGCAGATGAAGAGGATGCACCCCATCGACCCGGAGAAAGCGTGCCCCTTCGTGGGACAGACACTCAACGAGCTGAGAGGCGTTGTCGGAAACGAGGCCACCGTGCTCGGCTTCGTCGGCTGTCCCTACACGCTGGCCACATACATGGTCGAGGTGAGGTCGTCTCGCTCGAAAGTGGTGGGTGCTCTCGAGTATCATGTCGGGCCCAGAAGGTGCCGCTAACCCCCGTGTTGCACACCTCAAAAGCGTTGGCGTGAGGAAAGGAAAGCGGTATTGTAGTCATGCCCGGACTGGATTCCAGGTACTGTAGGCGCCCGTTGCTGGACTTGCGTGTCTTTCATTCTGGATTGGCTGCTGCTTTTTTGCTGTAGAATCGATGTTAAGTGAAGGTAAAATCACATTTGCGACGAAAGGATTGGTTAGGCCAGACCCACCCTAGGGCTGGTTGGCATTCCAGCGAGCAGATTGATTAAGGCCAGGCTCTAAGCAGCAAGCGTCAGCCAGAAGGGTATCGTGGTTAGAGTTCTATGATACTGCAAGGTACATGTGGTAATAGATTCGCAGCACGGGAAGACCGAGTTAAGGGCCCTTAAAAGGTACCTGGTACAGCAGAACTTGAAGCCATTGGCGGCCGAAAAATGACGTTGTGCATTATGTGTATGACAGCGATGTGGCACACATCAGGCGGAAGCTGTTTCTGGCATGGTATGTTCACGTGGCCCACGTCCATTTTTGATGCCATGCGTTGGACACTGTGGTGGAACTTGGACCGGACCAACTGCCAACAGGGCAAGACTTCCAAGGAGTACCTGGAGATCAAGAAGATGGCGTTCCTGGAGCCCAAGCTTCTGCACGCCATGCTGAAGAGCCTGGCTGACTCCATCGGCGACTACGCCAACTACCAGGTAGCCAAGCGAGCAACGTGTTTTGTACTATTGGTACCGCGGTTTGCTTGGTGTTGAGTTCAGTAACGTCTATTATGAAACTACCGGTTCGCTTTACCTGAACTTACCCGTCTCATTAGCAGACTCCACTGCCGTATCTACAGGCGTACGTCGGACCTCAGGTCATCAGAGCTGCATTGAGATGTGAAAGTGCTCGTTATTTAATCTGTGTTATTTCGTTATTTTGGCACGATGGCAACCACGGCAGGTGGACAGCGGCGCTCAGGTGATCCAGGTGTTTGACTCTTGGGCGGGACACCTTAGCCCCAAGGACTACGACACGTTCGCCGCACCCTACCAGGTAATTAGGTTCACACGCTCGTTGGTTCTCCTGTGATCGGAGTGTTGTGGCCTATCTCTAGGAATATCCCCCCAGAATGAGGCAAGGCACGACGATATCAAGTACTCGTTCAAGGTCGTCGTGGGGTAGGTTTTCCCCCTTAACAAGAACGCAGTCTGACGGACTTGCTGAGTCATGCTAGCGGGAGGCAACGGGTTTGGCTGGTAGATGCCGGCATGCATTCAAAGGGTGCACGAAGGTTTGCCTGGGACACTGTTCCCTCGTAGTGCATATCTATTCAGTTGACCTAAAGTTACGCTAACAGAGGCTTTCGGCAGCGTTGTTGCCTTCACACATGGAATCGTGCGTGTGGTTGTTGTGCTTCGAATGGGGTGGCCTCGGCATCTCGGCATTCCATTCAACGATATATGGCCATGGCAACACCCCACCCGACCCATCGCATCCCACCAACCGACGTGCGCCAATTGACTCGCAACATGCCTTTTCGTATCCCGCAGCGAATGGTGATCGAGAAGATCAAGGCGGTTCACCCCGAGGTCCCGGTGATCATCTACATCAACAAGTCCGGGGCTTTGTTGGAGCGCATGGCCACGTCTGGCGTGGACATCGTATCGCTGGACTGGACGGTTACGGTCCCGGAGGCTCGCAAGAGGATAGGTGCGACACATTCACGCGCCCACAATTAGGCGATGCCCATCGACTTGCTGATCACCGCCTGCCCTCTGTCTGTTGGGTCGGGTCGTTTCGCGTCGTTGTTTCTGGCGACGGTGTAGCGATTGTGACATTGTGACTCACCTTCTCCCGTTTGTCTTGTTTGTCATTGGATCGCTCGTTTCCTGCAGGCAACGACATCGGCATCCAGGGCAACCTCGACCCGGCCGTCTTGTACGGCGACCACGCCACCATCAAGGTAGTGATCTCTCTCTTATAACACAGCGCCGTTCCTGTTATGTAGGCAACAGTCGCGTGTTTGTGTTTTCCCTATTGTAGAACCGTGAGCAAGTGGGCACAGTGGGTAGGCACATCACCCTTTTCTGTACCACATGGCAATCCCTGGCCACACTGTGTTCGGGTCAGAGAGAGAACTTTTCAGTGTTGGGTCGTCCAAATGTGCGATGGTCGCGTCCTGCACGTGTGTAGCTTGCAAGGAATGTTGTATCCCATCCGAACACCATCTTTGATATGTTGTTGCTGTCCCCCTTTTGATCTAACCCCAGCCTCTCGAATGTGCCCCACCTCTTGTTGCACTATTCTCATAGGAGCGCACGGAGGAGATTCTTCGCGACGGAGGGGGGCGCAACCACGTCATGAACCTTGGACACGGTATCGATGCAGGAACACCCGAAGATAATGCGGCGTTCTTCGTAGACACCGTTAAAAACTTCCGCTTCTGAGCCAGCCCCGGTCGGGGGTTGAAGCGTTTAGATATGACACGCGTCATAGCTCAGTTAGCCATTTTGGTTCGGCAGACGTTTAACATTGCTGGAGTGCTCCATAGAGATGGAGACATTCGAATATGTTGCGTACGTGTGTCAGACCTGCCCACTTTTGCTCTTGGGGTACCTGCATGGGATGACGTGCGACACAGAACAATTGTGGCAGTTTACAAGGTCGTTCATGATTGGTTATTTGGAAAGTGTTGATTCCACGTGTGGACAGAGATGCGGCGAGACTGTGACGATGACATGGGTACCTTGTCGAGTTCAGTCCTGTAGATGAAAAGCTGTGTTATTTAGTATTTGTGTGGCATCTGATGGTCTGACCCTGTGAGGTTAGGAACTAGCGAAGGCTCCTGAGATACAATAGTCTGACAAATCGACACCCCGCGATTGACGCGGTTCCGCATGCCTTCGCCACAGCCGGTTCGCCCATTGCGCCAACCAATAGAAATCGGCGTTGTGGGTCAGACCTTCTAGGAAGTGTTTGTCCGTAAAAGTTAGTCCTCAATGCACCAAGTGGGCGAACACTTTCTGATGTGCACCAGCGGCAACAACCGACATCGACGTCGGCTGCCGCAGTTCTGCTCTCTACGTAGTTCCATAGCACTCTCCAAAGCATCACGTATGAAACATCCCCGCTTCTACGCTTCAATAGTGTTGATTGGCCTGGGACGATCGATTCCTTGTGGTAGGGTGAGACGGTGAATGGTTTGCGGGAGAGACTACTTGTTGTTTGTCGACATCTTGGCAACGACATGGAGAGTGGCTTCGCATGTGTTGAACCAACGCGTGCTCGTTTTGCCTTTCACGCAGAGCGTCGTGGGTTTTCCCCTGTGTACAACGGTTGGTTGTGATATCGCCGCCTCTGGCTTTTAGGCAAACTCCGGCAATCTCGAACTTCAAGCTACATTTCAAAGATCGTTAACATACGCTGCGAAGTTTCTCCGATCGACTGTGCCTTCTCCTACGGTAGAGTGCAATTGAAATCGCACGTCAGGACTCGCTGATGTACAGCAGGTCTGAATAATCTGTATGTTGGAGACGGAGCGCGTGGAATGACAGCGAGAGGCGTCGGGCCAGGCTCAAGAAGCAGCTCGCTTGGTGACTTTCATTATCAACTCCAAATTCGTTTCTTCTGTGTACGCTTTCGGCGACAACTGTCACGCCAGACTGGGGGCGGTATTCAAGCCGTTGTATCCTCTCTGCTTCGACGCGCCAATGTTATCCAGGTTGCAAACTGCCCAAAGTCAGATCCATTTCTTACACGTTCGTGGTCCCTCTTCAAATCCATGCGGCTTTCAAGTCGACGCCAAACCCATTCGATGTCCTCATCGCAGTGACAGGTCGGTGATACTGTTGTAATACCATTTACTTACTCAATCTGCCCAAGCAACCCGGAAGACGCACGCAGGTATGGTCTTGTACCATGCACCAGCACCAAATAAAAGTATGTACATAGAAGGCTACGGCGCTACTTATCATCGGCTGGGTCTTCGTCTAGCGGTGCCCCTTCCGCTCCCTTGCTCTCGTCGTCCTCTGCCTCCTTGATCATTGCCAAAAAATCGGCGTCCACCTTTGTGAGGACATGTCGGGAAAGGGGCGGGGGGGTGCGGGTATACCGTATTGTTGCTTCTGAACAAGGACCATCGCGGGGGAGGGGGAGGAGGTATCATGCACGTTTGAGTGCGAAGACAACAACATGACGACCGTGGAATCCTTGTACCGTTATCATTCCGTTTCAAAGTGCAGTAAATACATTTCGGCGGGATTTCCATTGCTCTATGCATATCTAGGCAGGTTTTCTGCGCGAAGCAGCTATGGTGAGATATGTAGGTAACCCTCCCCCCCCCTCCCTCCGCCCCCCCAGAGGCTTCGCACCCGTCTTTGTGAGCCCGTTCTACTACAGGAGTCCGACCCATTAATCTTGTAAACTATGGCCGCACCTTTCTCAAAAGTTCCTCCATCCGTTCGTCCTTTCCATCCTTCTTCTCGGCGTCAGCTTTATTCTTAGCGTCTTGCTCCGCTGCCTTTGCCCGCCGCAAGTCTCGCTCCCGGAGCTGTTAGATGCGGAAATGTTGTGGAACCCAAACAATTTGTGCCCCGGGCGAAGAGCACGGGCGGGCAATGAGGACGAGACAGGATTAACATTGAACGGATCCATTCGATAGACCATGGAACATGGTGGTCGCGTCGTTCATCCAATATCCTAGGGCATGCATCCCTCGAACGCTTGGCTTGGCTTGATTCTTTGGCTCGACACGCACATGTACCACACAACTAGTTCCAGGCAGTCTGGTTTGCTGCACGTGCTTCTATATAGTCAAGAAACCCACACCCCGTAGTCTAGACCAGGCTCACGCCTGCCGACACGGTGGACGTGTTGGTAGTTTTTCCTCGATCCTATCACGGCGAGCAAGTTCTGCGTAGTCGAAATGCTTGTTCGTGGTGGTACCCTAAAGGAAGTGTCGGACGCCTTCGAAAAATTATGAAAGGATGCATCGGAGCGGAGTTCTTCCGTGTATCCCCAGAGCACGTCACTTGGAGAGGTTAGACCGGGGGCTAGGACAAAACTAACGAGTGATTCCGATTCCTGCTTTTGTAAATTGGGGATGACGATGGACATGCTTGAATTATCCGCAAGAAAACACGAGTGGTGTCTGGAAATGTCGCTCGAGGGTGGCCAGAAACAGCAAACGCCAGTAAATACGGCGGCAGCTCAGGGGCGTTGCCTTGGTATGCAGATGACTTTTAACGCGCTTGACTAATGTCATGTCACCTCGAGGTTTTTCTCCTGCTTCATCTCCCTCTCGAACATTGCGCCAATGGCCCCCTTCTCCTGGCTACCGGCACTCACAGCTAAAGACTCGCAAACCTGCCAAGCAGACGAAAGCGTTGGTTGACATGCGGTGATTGAGCTGGGGTGCCAGTGTGCAGTGTGTATTGGGTCGCTCCTTCAGTGGCGGCATCTCACAACACGGTGAGAGTGCGTTTCGATTGCATGACATACGTGGTGGCTCCCCTGGTTCCTCTGCCATCCTCGCGCAAACTGCTTCAAAAAGGTAAACAACTCCAGTCCTTGCAGGTTTGTGACATGCTCATCATCTAGCGTAGGTGTTGAGAAGCACGATGACCACAAGACTGCTAGTCAGCGCGGACAAGTAGTCCAGTGGTCATCGCGCTTCTCAACAAAAGCTAATGCCCTAGTCCGTCAAGCTTTCTTTCAAGCCACGAACACGTCTGCCCAGGGTTGCCATCCCTGTGATCAGCGCTGTCTTGCCCGATCCATGATCGGTGTAAGAGATTCATAGACATGTTTTGCGAAGTCCATGACTTTTCCCATAACCATAGGGCGCAAATAATATCCTCGAAGGACAAAATGCTCAAGGGAACACTCGAACCCCGGACAGCAGCTTTTGTTAGTGCTTCTTAACAGCAGGTCGAGCTGCAAGTGTAGATGCTTCACGCCGTCTGATCGTACTACCACCGTGGAATGTGTCGCCGGGCGTGAAAAACAGTTCCGGCTTCTTATTCCAACATGTCAACCACACGAGGCACCCTCGCTGCTACATACGCCATCCCCCGCCTTTCACGCGTTACTCGAACTATGCTACAGTCTACCCTACCTGTAATGATTGTAGCGGAGGTAGGTCTTGGTGGTTCTTGTAGGTACGAAGGATCGGAGAGTTATGTACACGTTGAAGAAGTTGACTCCAAGGGAAGGGAGAGTATCCCTCCCACCGAAAGGGCCGCTTGTTCTCGACATCGATCGGTAGAATCTATGTGTAAGCTTGTCGTGCCTCGATTAGACTAGTGGCCGGACATATTTCCAGGACGGTTTTGCGTACTGATTTAGGCGTTTACACGTTAAGGTTGACGATGCCCGAAAGCAAGACGGGCCTCGTCACACAGACCAAGAGTGTCCTCGATGGCGAAACGTAAGGAGATCGATCTCCCACGCTTGTCACCGAGCAAAATAGGTCAAGGACTGCTGTGCCACGCTGTTGTTGGCACTGGGTCAGGGATTACATATAGGCTTACCTCCAAGAGTGAAACCGTGCCGTTGACGTCCCCGACCGCCACGAGCTTTCCGCCCACTTGGACGTTGCCTTGTACTGAGATCGAGCTGAGAGGAGCATCTCCCACCTATTGACCCGGAGAAAAAGATGACAGAACGGTGTCGTATCATGAGGACGAGGGTAAAGACATACAGGTATGCATGTGGCCCGGTGTCTAGAGCGCTGTGTCCAAGAGTAAGTATTGTGCTATTTTCTGTGTGGGTGATATTCCCATCTAGGATGTCTAGTGGAACTATGTTTTGAACATTACGGTCTGCAAAAAACAGTTTTTGTGTGTACCGGGGCGCATTCAGCTGAATGGGATGCACAACAACGAGTGCACATGCCTTGTCTTGCTTCTAGTCTTCCTTCTTGCAGGCATTCTTCAGTAAAGCTGAACAGGGGAGGAAAATATTGTTTATTGCATAGGAGGGGGGGGGGG